AATGCATTGTAGTATGCATGTAGGCTCGTTTTGGGATTTGTTCCTCCATTCCAAAAATTCTGGAAAAATATTGATCTTGAAGCTCTTTATCGTATCTTTCCAACCATATGTAGCCCAGCTTAAGGAAAAATTGGAAAGGCCTTCAAATAGCTTTTTTGGCACAGTAGTGTAGATGCTTCCGAAATTCACCTTAAGCTGCCAAAACTTTCATAACTTCTTCTAGAAGACTCAGAATCATAAACTATAAAATGGTCTAGAAACTACACTCCCACATCCTTCTAATGGTGTAAGGCTCATTAGCTGGTTCTTACTGAGCACATATAGTCCAATCCGTGAAATTGACTGATCTGTAGACATAGTTTTGAGCTAACTTGACTCCAAAATGCATTAAATGAGTCCTAAAGCTTAATATGCTGAAACAAACACAAAAGAGATTAAAAGCACAAGTTTAATTAAAAAACATAATGAAATTCTAAGCTAGAAGGGTACAAAATTATATACAATTATGCATTGATCAACAATTCTCATAACATTGCGTCCACAATTCTACCAAATTATAATCAATATTTTTGGTTTAAATTATGTAGTTCGGTAGGATTCATTATCATTATCAAAGGTTTGATGGCCTGAAAACAACCTGGATTGGATTATTTCTAACCCTTCTAAGACTAAGTATAGTAGGATTATGTCTAATACAATATTTAAGCTCATATAACAACACATTTCAATTAATTAAATTCTTTAATTATGTGTAGTACCAAATGCATCATTTTAATCATGGGGAATCAAACCTAGGACCCCTAGTGCATCAGAAAATTTTGTATGAAACGGGGATAACACTGATTTGCTATCACCAACCAATCACAAACTGTCGCGTGAAAAAGTTATCTCACATGGTATGCCATGATTGGCTGGGATAGCAAAATAGTTCTATCCCCATTTCACACAAGTGTTTCTCCTAGTGCAGGGGTAAATGCTCTTAAGCACTTGAGCATACAAGTCCATTGCGTGCCAAAAACATCATTAGACTACTGTTATCATTTCAAATCCAATCCAGCCCAATGTAATCTAATTCTACCTCATAATCCAATCCAATTAAAGTCACCAAACACAAATATATTGCAAAAATTAATTGTTTGATGATAATGTCAGCCCATCCTCATGAGACAATTAATAAAGCATCATCATTAGTCGGCAATAATCTTCGTAAATCACCCAAAACATGGACAAAAGAATAAACTAGCCAAACACCCTGTGAGAACATGAATTTTGACAACTAAGCAGAAACTGACAAGTGGAAAAATGTAATAACCCGATCCTGAATTTATTTTTAATTATTAATTTATTCTATGAAAAGACAATTATACCCCTAAAGTATTTTATTAGGCTTAAAGTTGACTTGTTGACCGGGAGGAATTTGCGAATTTGGGTGGTACCATTGCGTAGAGCTCGACGATACGAGTTCGTAGACATGCGGCATTCCCAATTCCGAGTTGTAATGAAGGAGAAAAAGTTATGAAAAGTAAGGACGTGGTGGGAATTTTAGAATTTGTCACAGCTACAGTACAGCTACAGTGATGCTACAGTCCCCCCGGGCCTCCGTATTTCTCTTCTTCCTCCTAGCGACACAACGAGAATTTCTGGTGGTTTTTCTTTTGGGCAGCCAACCTCTCTCCTCCACCACCGCCACCACATGCCTCCGTTTTGGGTGGTACTGGTCCCAAAAGAACCGGGCCACCTTCCTCTTCCCATCCCGATCAACCTCAGCATCTGGAACCACCGGTGCTGGCCGGAAACTGATGAAATCCGGGCTGTTTTGGACAGTTTTTGATAGATTTTTTGGAAGCTCGTTCGGGTGTTTCCGACGGCCAAATTTTGCAATCCAGGTATGCTTTCTCAACCTCTGGAGATTCTCTAGCTGCTGGTTGTCTTGGATAGGAGAAATTTCTGAGTTTTCTAGGGTAACTAAGCGATGGAAAATATGCCTGTTTTCGGCCTCCGATTCAGGCCACTTCCGTCCACTTTTTGGGTAGGTCCAAGAACAAAAGTGGTTCCAAATAGGGTTTTTTTTACCTAGGGTAGGAGTTTGGGCTGACAGTTTAGAGTTTTTCCGGATGCCAGAAATTTATTAAGCCACCCAAGCGCTGCCGGCGCGTGTGACAGCGCATGGGCAGAGTGGTGGTCTGAAATTAGGTTCTAAAATTATTCTTATGTTGTCACGAGCACATATGAATTCGCAGATCTCAATTCGGACAACGTTTAAACCCCGAACGGATCTCGCATATTGTGCAATTTCCAGGTTCGTTATGTTTGAGCCGTTGGATCATAGTCAATTTCTTATATATCGATCTAGATAATTCTAGGATCATGTAGGATTCGACGGATTGTAAAACGGAGTCCCGGATACTCCAGAAACGTCAACCCTAGGGCTAGGTTTATAGTAATTGTCCGATCGTGCGATCGTGATTAGTCCGACCGTCCAATCGAGACCAAACTCTCGGGACATGTGTCCTAGACATATTGGAACCTATGAGAACTTTCGGATCAGAATTTTGAGGCCGTGGACCCCACGGGGTCCCAAGTTGACTTTTTTTGACTTTATCGCTTTTAAGTCCCGAGGCACCTTTAGACCGCTCTAAACCTTGGGAAGAGCTACTGGGAGGACATAAATGACTTTAAAGTTGGGGCACGTACTTCTAGGAACCCAGGGCTAGGGTTTCGAATAAAATAACGTTGATGAGTTTTATTGTTTGTGTGTGAGCTTTTAGGAAGTTCTTGTACGTGCGAGTGCTCATTGATTTAATTATGGCATTAATTTCATGGATTAGATTACCATATCACTTATTATGAAATTATATAACTATGGAGTGGGTAGATATGATTGTATACATATGGATTGCTAAATTATATACTTGTATTTATGTTATTTTGTATTTGGAGGTGTATTATAGTATGTGATGGTAAACCTAAAGGGTATTTTCGATAATTGGAGAGTATGTGATATTGAGAATTGATTTCTGGAAAATTGAGAAGAGAATATAAGCAAGGTTTGTGAAACAAGAGGAACTTTGAGATAAGTTTCAGAATATGGTTTTTAAACCCACCTAAGGAGTACCCCCCAGTTGCCTTGAGACATTTGTTATCTATGATATTGCCCACAAGTTTAGAGGACGCCTGAATCGTGTGGTGTGAGGATTGCGGCTCAGATTGAAGTGTTATCTTTAAGACCTATGAGGAAAGCGGCTCGGTTAACCTTATGGTTCCGAAACCTGTGAGGATTGAATTGACAGACTAACATTGGAATTGACGGATTATTATTGGAATTGACGGATATGTGGAATTGACGGCATATATGGAATTGACGGTATTAAAGGAATTGACGGATCAGAAATGGGGGTACGCCTAGGTGGAGAGAATTTAAGTTATGAGATGCTTTTAAACTAAACTAAGGATTTTATATAGTTACCATTATTTTCTTAAGCGTCACCTTTGTTTTACAAGCGATAGATGGATATATATATATACACATATATAGATTCTAATCAAGTTATTGATATATATATATATAAATACATGTATATATATTAATTTATGAACTTTACTTGAGTTCGATACAAGGGTGTTCGGAGCTTATAAATCTTTAACTTATTTTATTTTATTATGTTTATTTATCTTTATCTTCTATTATTTTATATAGTATCAAATAGCTTAAGTTTTTCTAGCAAATTTTGCCTCACGAGTCTTAGATATATCTGGACCGTGGGAGCGAGGATTGCGGATCAGGTTGACCAGATGTCTCCTGAGACCAGCGAGGATTACAAGTTAGGACGTGTCACCATTGGTTCCACAAGAAATTGATGGTTATGGCTTTCCAAGCATGATTACCTGATATAAATGCTTTTATTTCTTCAATTGATTATATTGCCAAGCGAGTAATGCCAGGAAGCTTGAAGTAGGAAGCTGAGATGAAATAGAAGAATTATGTGTCCCTCAGTAAGGGTACGTAGGCAGCCTGAAGCTACAAGGTGCATCCACGAGTTGGAGTCCTTGAGATTGCTAATATACTATGGATGTTCTAAAAGTTAGAATAAGTTCCAGTTGATAGAATGATTTACTTGAATTACTAAGCCCTAGGGGTAGAATGATATGATGTTTGATTTTCTTGGGTATACTTTAATACATGCTGAATGTTTGGGATATATAAATGTTTGTTGACAGGTGGAAATTTTGGGAATTTTCAATTTACAGGGGAAATGTTCAATTTATATATCAATTTTGGAATATATAAATTTTCGACAGAAGCCAAACTCGAAATAAATTGAATTTTGAATAGAAGGGCAATTAGGTCATTTGTGCCCAGCACCCGTCAGATGTCGGACACGCACAGGGTTCAGCTCGGATTCCAAAGTGAAGTTTGGGTTGGGTCCTGTCAAAAAATGAATATTCTTTAGGTCAAATAATTGTGCTAATTAAATCCTATTTAATTACCCAATTATCCTGATTTAAGATAGGAATATCTCCCTAAATCAAGGATCCGATTTACACCAAATCTCCTTGATATTATCTTGTCATCTCATTTAAGGAAAAAAATAATACAAAATTAGTGAAATACCAATTCCTAGACATGAAACTATAAATATACCCTATACCATTTAAAGTATAGAAACACACCCAAAATGTCGATTTTTTAAATTTAATAGCAATGTTGAATTATTGTTTTGCCCTTTTGCCCAAAATAAACCATGCTCCAAGGCTCAATTAAGATAATCGACGATTGCTCCTTCAAAATCTCGAAGCTGGTTTGTGAGAAATCGACGAGCGGCCAATTTAACTAACCTCACCGTCGGAGCCGCAGCTCTAATTTTCATTGCTTTCTGGATCTCTCACTTGCTTTCTCACAGATCTTGCGGCTATTTCCAGATCTCATAGTTCAATCTCTCGCATCTTAGTCACAAGCAAGGTCGTTTTACAACTCAGGAGGTGGACTCGGGTCCTGATCCATGAGGCCAACTCTTTCCTCCACCGACAATGATGCGTTGCAGAGGCCTTTTCTCCGTTTCGATGTGATCATCGAATCGAAGATCATCAACGACCATGAGACCGAGAGGTCCAGGGGCTTCGGCTTCGTCACTTTCAACAACGAGAAGGCCATAAGTGATGCGATCGAAGGCATAAACTGCTAGAACCTCAACGGCCGTAACATCCTCGTATATGAGGCCCAATCTCGTGGAAGCGGCGGTGGTGGCGGCAGTAACGGATGTTACAGCCGCGGAGGATATGGCGGCGTTGGCTATGAGGTGGCGGCGTTAGCTACTGAGGTGGCAGTCATCGTGAAGGCGGTGGGGATAGCGTCTCGATGACAATTCGGTATAGACCACTTAGGTAATTTGTATTTGATATTCATTTGAGTTTTGAATTGTGATTTTATTTTTTTATATATATAATTTGGATTGATTTCAGATTCGGTTTGGTTGTGAATTTGATCTTGTGTTTTGGTTTGAGCTGTGGTTAAAAATCTATGATATTGGATTGGGTTTTCATATTAATTGAGGTATCCTTTTTCAAGTTGAATCTGAGTATATTCGTTCTGGAGGGTTGGGTTAGTACTTGGAATTTCTGAGTTGGATTAGGTTTTAGCTTAGTTGAATTAATTTTTTTTTAATATCAAGGATTTACAACTCTTCCAAGGTTGTTTTGTGAGTTGACTGCAATTTTCATTGTAGACTTACTTTGCAGCTACACTGTTGTGAAAGATGGGCTTTTTCAAAATAGAAAAATAGAAAAACTAATTGCCATATGCCCTGGACCATACTAAATACCTTTGAGTCTTAGTTCTCTGCTTTTTTGCCTTAAGAAGCCGCAGGCTTGTTTAATTTATGTTTACTTTTAGTCAAGAGCAGCTCAAAAATTTTAGATTGACATTTCATGTGGTCAAGGTCTTTGGGTCCTAGACTAATGTGCTTTCAGAAGCTATGTGCTAGAGTGAGGTTACATTAGTCTAGATGTAATGAAGTAACACTTACAGTTAGTAGAAAACAATATCTAAAGCTTACTTTCAGAAGCTATGTGCTAAAATGAGGTTATGCGAGTCAGTTCTAACTTTCTAACTATGTGTTGTGCTCTCTGTTGTTTATGGAATCCAATCTATGCATGATGCCTAGGGATTTTCGTCTTTTATGTTGTTGTGATCATAAGTTCAATACAAAAAACCCCACTTTGAATCTCAAGAAAACTCCCTAGATGGATCTTCATATCTCAAAAGAAACGCTTTAACTGTCTAGAAAACGGGAAATGCTCCAACAGTAACACTTTTTCATTGCTGATGCCTTTTGATGTTAGTTTCATTGATACATGAAACAATTACTAGTTCTGTTCAATTATAATTATCAAGTTTACGACGCTTTTATACAGGTCTCATTCTGTAATGTAACATGTTGGTACAACTTCTGATGGGTTGGGTTGGGTCTATAATTAATATTTGAACTCTATTTCACATAGGCAAATTCGGGAAAGAAGATCCGAACTTTATTGAAGAAAGAATCGATTACAAAGATGTATTTGTTTGGTTACTCACTCTGTTTAGTTGATCAACTTTAATCTCAAGTGAAAGAAGGTGCCCATAGCCATTGCCGGGCCATTCACATCATGATACCATTCACTATCACTCAGGTAATGAAGGTAACACTTTCAGTTAATAGAAAACAGTCTCTAAAGCTTACTTTCAAAAGCTATGAAGCTTGTTGAAGTTGTTAGGACTTTCTTAGTCACTAAGGTTAGACTTCCTTGTTTTCAGGTCTAATACTTACGTAGCTGTTAATAATTCTTGTTTCTAAGGAACAAGTATTGTTGCACGTTCAGTTTAAAGTCTAGTCATATACCTAGATTCTAGGTGCCGTAAAATCGTGGGTTGTTGCATTTCCATTCAGTTACTTTGTAAGGCTTTTAAAGGCAATTGCCATCTTTGAATTCAATAAGAAATTCTTCTTGCAAAACAAGTGCTATCAAACTTTCTCTTACTCAGTTTCTTGTAGATTTTCTGGTTCCAACAAAGCCGTGCTATAGTGAGGTAGCTGGTTTACGAACATGGGGTTTTTGCAGTTGTTCACTTTTATCGTACATATTATGCAAAGGAAATGATGTAGTTGTTAACTTCCAGTAAGTGGTGTGAATTGTTCATATCATGCAACTGAGTTGATTTCTATGACATAGTATTAACAGTGTACTTTATGACATAATGAGTATCTTACTAATTTTCTATAATATTAATAGATATTTTTAGTAACAAAGCATAATCCATATTTTGATCTATATATAGCTATGCACTTGAAGTTTATAATATGCAGAATGTGATTTTTACTAGGAAGGTAGTTCTATAACATAGTATTAACAGTGTACTTCTATGACATAATATGAGTATTTTACTCATTTTCTATAATATTAACAGATTTTTCAATAACAAAGCATGCTCTATATTTTGCTCTATATATAGTTGTGCACTTGAAGTTTATGATATGCAAAATGTGATTTTTACTAGGAAGATAGTTTTATAACATAATATTAACAATGTACTTCTATGACATAGTATTAATAGTGTACTTTTTTTCTTTTTCTTGTAGAGGTATTTCCTTTTGTCTTTGCTATTATTTCTGGTGAAACTATGGACAATTGAAGGTGGTTTCTGCACAGGATATCGAATGTCTTGCTCGGTTTTTTTTAAAAAGTTTTTTTCTATGAAATGGTATTAACAATGTTTTCTATAAAATGGTATTAACAATGTTTTTTATGAAATTGTGTTAACAATGTACTTCTATGACATGATATTAACAATGTACGTCTATGACATGATATTAACAATGTACTTTTATGAAATGGTATTAACAATGTTTTTTATGAAATTGTATTAACAATGTACTTCTATGACATGATATTAACAATGTACATCTATGACATGGTATTAACAATGTACTTCTATAAAATGGTTTGCGGAGGTTCGGTGGAGAAGGAAGGGTTTTGGGGACATGCCTTTGGCTATTGTGATTTTTTTTAAAGTTTGGATTTTTAAAAAATCTGAGCTAGGCTTGTTGGGCTTGTTTTGGGGTTTTTTTTTGTGTCTTTTGTGTTGAGCTTGTTTTAAGTTAATCAATGACATATATGTAATATATAGGAGGTTCAACACTTATTTGTTATGTAATAAATGTTTTTGGGTATGTTTATAAAGTGAATTCCATATTTTAGGCTTTTTTTTTATAAAATTGGGTTTTGGGGTTTTTTTGGGTTTTGTTTTTTTTTTTTTTTTTTTTTTTTTTTTTTGTTGGACTTTATAGTGACAGTGTTGTGATTTATTGGAACGTCAACACTAATTTGTTATTTAATAAATGGGTTTTGGGTGTGTTTATAAAGTGTTTTCCATGTATGTTTTTTTTATTTTATAATTTCAGCTCCTTATTTTGGGTATATTAGTGAAGCTCCCAAAAAATAATTCATATAAATAGAGAATTATTCTTCACAAACTTTACTAAAGATGGAGGCTCTATATAAAGATTGCATCTCACCACATATGAGGTAATTCCAAAAATCCTAGCAAAGCTCACGCTACTCTCTTTCTCTCTCCCTTTCTCATGGCTTCGCAGTCATCTCCTTTCCCAACGCACGTGCCTCCTCCTTTCACATAGAGGAAAGCTCCATACTCTCAGTTCAATCTGCATCTCCTTGAGACCATTTTATTGATTTAGGCATCAGAGGGCCTTTGCCCAACACCCCTCGGGTGTTCTGTCCTGACAGCATTTATTTTGTAGAATTCAAGGAAGAAGAAGATCAAGATAGAAGAGAGGATCATCCATGAATATTCTCCTCAAAATTTATTTGTGCAAACAAATTGGTGCTTTCATTAATATTCTGAACTAAGGAAATCCATTTCCAACTTTTCATCATTCATCCGAAGCTTTTCGTACAACCATGGCTAGAAGCGTAATCGCGAGGATCAAGGCCACTACGACGCATTGGTCCGAACCATTACCAAGGGATAACATCGAACCCACCTTGAGGTGTAGGCCTGAGCCCACCTCACAATCTAGTAGCCGAAGCCACCGCTCCTCTTCATGGCCTTAGGTCAGGCTAACTTCCCATCTCATCGCCCCATGGCCGTGAGCACAGGTCCAACACACGGCCTCATGGCCGAGACCATGGCTCCACCTTATGCCCACACAGTGGAGCTTAGAAATTACCCTCACTGCCCCACAGTCCGATCTGGAGTTCACCTCCATAAAGGCACCGCTACACTCAGTGGTACCCTCACTCATGCCAATCTTGCTGCTGTCACCAAATAGAGCCCCATCTTGGAACAAATATTGTTTCCTTATTTCCTCAAAGCTTGACATTCGTGGTTCCTCGGCACAGCTCCAACGATGGGCGAACGCACCGGTAAAGGACACGAGAGGTCTCAATTAGGTCGAGTAAGAATCAACATGCAAGGATGAGGACAATAAAAAAAAGTACCAGCATGCTGGCATGTCACAAGCATCCAAGAGTCACGACAAAGTAGGTCGAGTATCTGTTCAAGATTAGGCCCGCGAACCAATGTCCACTTACTTTTGGGGGCATAGTTCGATGTCCATGCTCGCTTGGGCCCTCAAAGAAGTGTTCATTTGAGGTTAGGCCAACAAGGAGACCAGCCCATAGCCCACTTCGTGGAGAGGTGAGGGAGTATGCTCACTGACTCACATCGAAAGGGTAAATTCTAGGCTACGTGCCACAAAAAATACTTCACAAGCTCAATCCACTAATACACTACACTGATAGGGCAGTCGAGGAGAACAACACTTTTTAGCCAATGAGGAGGTTGACTAATGACTCCAACGCCATAGAAGCCCTCAACAAGAAGTGCAAGCGTTGTGAGTGTAGGACGTTGAGAAGCTTGTGAATGATCAACTCTGGGACCTAAAAGTCTAAGGAGACTTGGAAGACACCCTGTGTAAAGAGGCAAACTGGGTTAATTCCTTGTCATTCATTGATGAGATTAAGGAAGTAGGTCCACCAAGGCGATTCGTGACACCTACCTTCATAACATTCAAAGGGGATTCTGATCCCAAAAGCCATCTTAAGAAGTTTAGGAGTATCATGATAATCTATAAAGGCGACGATACACTTCGGAACAATCTCAACAAATGATTTCGTCGGCATGTTTCGTGACCATAACCTCATCATCACAGCAAACATGTCGGTTGTGATATTATAATGGATATTTATACGGCAGTGTGATGATGGTGGGTAATTCTTCATCGGATGATGATGTTGCTTGCTTGGTTTCTCCATCAAAGGATGGTGGTGGTGGTTTGGTTTCTCAGTTTTGTCCTAAATATTTTTTAACTCATTTTTAATAAACTAAGGCCTCGTTTGTCACAAATTATTATTTTAGCATGGACTATACTTAGGGACTGTCCTCAATTGGCTAGGCTTGGTTTAGGCTAAATAAGACTTATCTGGTGTTTGATGTAATGCCAGACTAATAAGCTGGATAATGTTAAAATAACATAAATAATAAATGTATCATTTCAATTTTTAATTTTTCACTAAAATGCATCAATCAACCAAAATGTTTTTGTCTTATTTATTTATTTATTATTAATATCTTATCCAAAAAAAAAGATATACTAAAAAATTAAAATAATATTACCTAAAATTATCTTAAACCAAAAAAATTAAAACAAACTCAACCATCGGTTATAAAACAAAAAATAAAAAAAAGCACCACCCCATTAGCCCAACCCCAATTACCCTCACGTTCCCATCCATCCCCATTCTCCTCTTTTTTTTCCTTCTCACTCACTCACTCTCTCTCTCTCTCTCTCTCTCTCATGGTTGGTGGTGGTGTGATGGTTTGATTTTGTGTGTGTACTACAGTTTCAAGGTTATATAGAGTTATATTTGAACTGACATAACGGGTGGGATGGAGTTCAATTGGGTATGGATGGTGGTATCACAGGTGTAGATAGAGTTTGACTGCGTGGTGGTGACAGTGGGGTTTGGGGCATATGCAGGCTTATTTGTCGCTCCCCCCATAAGGAGTTGTTTTTGGTGGGGCCGACATTAGCAATCCCCATTTAAAACTATAATCAAGTGAAAACAAACATAGGTTAAAATTGTATCCAAGCCAATTCGAACTTATCTGGTGTAAGGATAAGAAAAGAGAGAGAGAGAGAGAGAGAGAGAGAGAGAGAGAGTTTAACTGTCCAATTCTTTCTATGGTTCATATTTAAAACCAACTTTAATAACAACTCTTGCTCTTCTCCAACCCACTATGCACCGTCCTCCCTCATCCCTCATCGCCTCTCTCTCTCTCTCTCTCTCTCTCTCTCTCTCTCTCTCACAGACCCAAAACCCCCTCCTCCACCCAAAGTCACACCCCACCCACCTTCCAAACCCCACCTTCATTTATTGGCATCCAGAGTATGACCTAGACTTCGAAGTTGAATTCAAGGTTTTTTTTTCTTTATCATGCTTTAAACATTTAATTTTACTTCAAAAAAACAAAACCTACCTTAATTTAGACATGGAATAGCATGTTGACCCTTCACAACTTCAAAATTGCTGCTGCAAGCTTCCAGCGTTATTTGCATATAATTTGCAACTCTTTAAACCAAATGCCCCACAAAGCATTACTTTGGGCTTTGTACCGTCATGACTTTTATTTAAAATTATTACATTTGTTAGAGAGCACAAATGGGAGTCACCACTTCTACAATTTATCATTATTTTATTTCATGCCTTTCTCCTTCTTCATTTATCATTACTTTATTGATTGCTTATTTTACTGAACACAAAAGACATATCGGATGGAATGAAATCATGCAATATATGTCAAATTGCCACGTAAGTCATCAAATTTTAATTTAATGTTTTATATTTAATCTAAGAGCATCTCAAAGGGAGATGTCAAATACCAAACATCAAATTTAAATTTGATGGCAGATGTGGCAATTTGACATCTTACACAGCTTTACACTCCAGCCGATATGTCAAATTAAATTTCTTATTTTATTACATTTTGGTGTTGATTTATTTTTAATTAAAAGAAAAGAAAAGAAAAAATAATAAAATATTCATTTGACATCTTGCTTTTGGGATGTCAAAAATAACATCTCAACCTCTAGCCTTCATTCCACATCAACTTTGACACATCGGTTGGAGTAATGTGAGATGTTATTTCTAGCTGTTAAATGTCTATGTAGCACTTTTGACACATCGGTTAGAGATACTTTTTTACAACTCAAGCAAGAAGCCTTTGTCACAAAGGAGGACCACATAATTCAAGAAAAACTTATTTACAACATGGATAGCACTGTTTTACTATCCCCGCCCTATAATGTTATGCTTACTATCCCTGCCCTATAATGTTATGCCGTGTAGAAGTGTTAACACGCGTGTCACAATGTCAAAGCGTTATTGACCGAGGATAGAAAAATAATGTTTTCCCAGTTTCAAGGCTAGAAGTGATTGTGCCCCAATTTTCAGAAACTCTTTTACGTTTTATATAAAACTTGACAATTTGTGTGCAATTTATATATTAAAAAATTGTCAGCTATTGCTGCCCCTTAAATATATAGGCTCTAGTTCCACCATTGCTTCTTCAGTAGTCACGTTCTCAAGTAATCATTGCACTATCCCGTTAATTTTCTTATACCAGAGATTGTGGTTTATAATTGAAAGTAAATTAAATCGGGACACTAAATGCACTACTACATTTAATACGTGCGCGTCGACGCAAACTTTGTCACGCAAATCATTCTTGCGTGAAGAAAACAGACAATCGTAGCGCAAAATTTTCCAGATAATAATTTATAATTGAAAACTTATGCGATGAATATTTTCGTCACGCAAAAACTATTAGCGCCACCAAAATCATGACCGTCGCGCAAAGTTGGGAAGAAATACCCGCGTTTATTTCGGGTGGCGCCAAAACCTTGCGCGATGACAAATATCGTCGCAAAAGGAACCCTAGCGCAACGGTAGACATTATCGTCGCGCAAAGTGAGGCGGAAAAGCGCAGGTTATAGTTTTTGGCGCCAAAAACTTGCACGACGACAAGTGTCGTCCCAAAAGAAGACTTAGCACGATGCAAATATACGTAGTCGCGTAAGAAAACGTTGGATTTTTTTATTTGGCGCCAAATGTTTGTGCGACGGAAAGATTTGTCGTCGCGTAAAGTTCGATGTCGGCACGTCTTTGCGCGTCAAAATTTTCCATTTGCGCGACGAGAATTGTAGTTTGGCGCGACAACATTTTGCTCGACGAACCCTTATTCGTCGCGCAAAATCCTTCTTCTTATAATATGTTTTCTGCCATTGCAGAGGCAGACTTGAAAAAAAAATCTCTACCTACACCATTCTGCTGTGCTTCTGCTGGGAGTTCATTGGGTAAGCATTATTTGTTGTCATTAGTTTAAAAGTATTTATGTAAATTTATACTAACGCTATTAATTTCGTTTTTTTAGGGATATTTGTAATTAGCGATTGGTGGAGAAAGCTTGAGAAGGTATTTTATTCGCTTTATACTTTAAGAATATAAAATTAATTACATTATGTTAAACTTAGTTTGTTATGTTAAATTTTTTTTTGTGATATTATATTTATACTATGCTTTTAAATTGTGTGACGTAATACAATGTGTTGTGATGTACGAAGTTAATTGAAATTAACTTCATACTTTTATTATTATTTTTTAGTAACACTTACTTTCCCTGTTCGAGATTAGTTGGATTTCGTGCATGGATGCGTAAAGCATGACTGCAGTCCAATTAATTCTTGAATTGTCCCATTATTTGGACAGTTTGGTAATGCATAGTGTTGTCACGTAATCTACAGCTACAGGATTAGATTTCGATTGTGGAGATTTCGGTGTCATCTCGATACGTTCTTCGGGTGGTACGTAGGTATTTATACCTTTGCCCACCTCAAGAACTGTATCGAGATGCTGCCGAAATTTATCCACGTCGAAATCTAATCTCATATAGCCATAGGTTACGTGACAGGACTATGCATTCCCGAATGGGATAGGACTCTTACCGGAGGCATAAGGTGACATTATAACTTCGTATGAAGTTGTTGTGATTGTTGTGTTGTGATTGTGGTTTTAGGAATTATGAGCAGAAGGTGGATACAGAACCCGAATAGATGCGCAGACGAATACTTGGATGGAATCGAGGATTTTATTGAGTTTGCACGTAGACACAACCCGGGTGCAACTAGAATCTGTTGTCATTGTAGGAGGTGTAACAACACGTTGTGGGAGACAATTGAAAATGTTGGATTTCATTTAGTAAGGAATGGAATGATTGAGACATATAGCATTTGGAACCTTCACGGAGAACAATTAGACAATGCTTCGTCTTCAAATGCCACAAGAGTGGACAATGTTGAACATATTGTGGATCCTAATGAACAAGTCATGGATATTATAAATGATGTTTTTCCATTTGCATCGACCAACATCAATCAGGAAGGGGAAGATGACGTGCCTACCCCAATAGAGAGTGCAGAGTTCGAACAATATGAACAACTGTTAAAAAATGCCAACCAAGAGTTATACCCGGGTTGCAAGAGCTTTTCCGTTCTCACGGCCATTGTGGAGCTAATGCATGGAAAAATAAAGTATCGTATGTCGAACCTGTGTTTCGATTACTTTTTAGGGGCTTTCAAGAGAATGTTTCCGACGGATAATTGCTTGCCGAAAGACCATAGACACGCGCAAAAAGGTGTTGAATGGTCTTGGATTGGGTTATGAAAAAATTCACGCTTGCAAAAACAATTGCATGTTATTCTACAAAGAGTATGAAACATTAAATACATGCCCTATATGCAATGAGTCGAGGTTCAAAATGACATCTCAGAATAGAATAACTAAGATCCCACAAAAAGTCATGCGTTATTTGCCCCTGAAACCTAGGCTGCAGCGATTATATATGTCGACGCATACTGCCACAGACTTGAGATGGCACAAGAAAAAACGGGTAGACGACGATGTGATGCGTCATCCTGCAGATGGGGAGGCATGGAAAGCGTTCAATCGAACGTTCCCCGAGTTTGCTGCTGATCCCCGAAATGTTAGATTGAGACTTGCAACTGACGGATTCAATCCGTATGGGGTTCTAAACCAACACCACAACACTTGGCCGATTTTCGTATTTCCATATAATTTACCGCCTTGGAAATGCATGAAAAAAGAGTACATGATGATGACAGTTTTGATAATTGAGGATCCTGGCAGGTCAATCGATGTTTATTTAAGGCCGTTGGTGGATGAGCTCAAGGATTTATGGACAAAACAGTGTGCGCACGTACGATAAATCCACTGGGAAGATGTTCACTCTACGGGCAGCAGTTATGTGGGCTGTGAATGATTTTCCCTGCATATGCAATGGTTTTTGGGTGGAGCACAAAGGGTTATATGGCATGTCCCTGTATGCAAGGAAGATGTAACTTCTGGTTGGCACGCTGGAAAAGTTTGTTACCTTGGTCATCGGAGATGGTTACCATGGGACCACGAGTGGCGGGGAAAGGATAAAGAGTTCGACGGGAACATAGAGCGTCGCCTCAGACCTAGAGAATGGTCCGGTGATGAGATCTTGGAGCAGCTTAACCGTTTGGATTTTGCTCCGTTCGGGAAAACAGTTAGTCGGACCAAACCTTCTACACATTTGAACTGGATGCACAAGTCTATGTTCTTTGAGCTCCCATATTGGTCGAAACTAAAATTGAGGCACAATCTCGACGTTATGCATGTTGAGAAAAATGTGTTTGACACATTGATGGGTACGATTCTAGATATTGAGGGCAAGCCAAAGGACATCATCAAAGCTCGTCCTGATTTGGAAAGAATGGGCATACGAAGGGGATTATGGATGAATAGGGACAATGATAAAGCTAGAAGGGATCTTGCATTTTTTTTCCATGAAACCGAATGACAAAAAAGATTTTCTAAAGTTTGTATCGTCTGTAAAGTTTCCCTGATGGGTATGCTTATAATATCGCATGTTGCGTAAATGTTGACGGGGGTAAATTTGCTGGACTAAAGAGCCCTGACTGCCTGTATTTACGCAACGCCTACTTCCTGTGGGTATTCACATATATTGCCGGAAGATGTAGTCAAACCAATCATGTTGTTATCCAGATTTTTTTCCCAACTGACTGCAAAAACGTTGCGAAAGCCAGACATTCATCGGTTGCACCATGACATTGTCCAAGTCCTATGCAAGTTTGAAATGATATTCCCTCCAGCGTTCCTCATAAGTATGATCCACGTGATGGTTCACTTGCCAAAAAAGGCATTGCTTGCTAGTCCTGTCAACTATCGTTGGATGTATCCAATAGAAGGTATATAATCCTCATCATTTGGTTATGCATCCTTATCCCACGCTTGCTAATTTGTATCGTATCGTTTTTTTTTGTAAGCTTCTCGAAGAGCTGAAAAAAAACTGTACATAATAGGGCGAAGCCCGAAGGCTCAATTATAGAGGCTTGGGTTCAATATGAGTCGTTGACTTTCTATGGAATGTATTTAAAATATGTGGAGACGGCTTTCAATCGACCTCAGCGCAATAATGATGGAGGTGTGAGAAATGAGAAACTTTCTATTTTTGCCCAAAGCGCACGACCCTTTGGAGATCCTGCACAATGAGAAACTTTAATTTTATATTTCTTTGCAGCCAAGAAGAACACCCGGGGGCCTTGTCGGCAGTTGAAGACGGCGAAGGTCACTTGGGTGACCAATAGTCGTATCAACATCGGATACGACGAGAGGCATCGGGCTGCAGCAACGGCGGAATTGCATAGCTCATTAGCCCACGACATTGGTCACGTCGTTCGGGCCCATTGCCCGATTAAATGGAAGTCTTGCAAGGTCATGCCTGACGAGACGAGGATGGAGGTGCGCGGACAGTTGTAGGTATGTATCCTACTATTTAATTGTTTTTTCTTCAAATTTTATATATTTCTATTACTTAATGTATGTAATTAATGTATTACAGACCAACTACAATTTAGAAGACCTCGACGACGAGTCGTTGACGTACGTCAACAGACTCTTCGGTGAAAGGGACAAGCAGTGGAAGAGCGACTTGCACCACCATTTTCAGACATTTGATGATCTGCAGGTCGCTCTGCATGAGGGTTGCCCGCAGGAGCTTGAGGGCCGGGAGGATAGTTGGGCGTGGCTCTGCCGTCATTTTCAGGAGGGTGATTATTTGGTAATTTTTTTATATTAAGTTCACAATTATCATACGTTTCTTATTAATGTTTATTTAATTTTTTATATTTCCTTTCACTTTCAACTAATACGTTCATTTTTGTATAACAGAAGAAGGCCCAAGCAAATAAGGGCAATAGGAATAAGAAGACTCTTCTCCACCATTCAGGTTCCAGGCCCTTCTCATATAGGATGGATGCACGACGACGGGTAATAATAAAATCTTTTATATTCAATTTTTAATATGTCATTAATAGTAATTTGTTTTTTCGTACTAACATTTGTATTTTGTTGTTTAATTCAGGAGGGGTCTAAATTCCTGGAGATCGACGTCTTTGGCGACGTTTATGTTCGACTTGGGAATGAGTTGGCTGAGTCCCTTCATGTAAGGATTCTTTATTTTTAATTATTATCTTACGCATTCATGTTTCATGGTTATTATATGAATGTTGTAATTAATATTTTATGTTATGTTAAACAGACGACGATGGTGGAGAAGAGCCAGTTGGTTCTCCAGGAGTCCGCCTCCCAACTTCCTCCCGATACTCCGCTCGGGTATGTGGATCCTCCACATGATGCAAGGTTTCAGATCCTAACTGAGACCTTGGATCAGACTCTCAGGAGGAGGCCAGGGACATATTGTCGAGGGATGGGGAATGCCCGCCGGCGGGAACCTAGAGCCCGTTCCTCATTATAGTCAAACAGTCAGGTGACTGCTTTGACGGCAGAGGTGGCCGAGCTTAGGACCCAGATGTCACATATGTCACAGATTCTACAGTCCATCGTCTGGTCCGGCGTTCCTATACTGCATGTTGGCCCCTCGTCGACCTCCGAGCCCCTCCAACCCGACCTTCGCCACCACACTCCTGCCCCTATCGATACTGTCCAGACCTCCGAGCCGCATTTGAAACATTAATCTTGTAATAAATACATTTATATTATGTTTACAAATATTTTTTTCTCTTCATTATTTTTTTAATTGCAATTTCATTTTATTAGAAACAAAAAATAAAGCAACCAAATTTATGTCTTTTACCAACCAAAAAAAAAAAGTCAAAATGTAACCCAAAAAAAGGTCAAAATCAATTTTACAATTTTTTTTTTGCGTGACGAAATGCTTTTCGTCGCCAATTCACTTTTTACAAAATAAAAAACGGAAAAAAAAATTTGAACAAAAAATATTTATTTTTGAGCGACGAAATATTTCGTCGCGCGAAAAATGAATTGGGACTAGTGGATTTTCGTCGTGCAAATGTTTGTGGCACGAAGTATTTCCTCGTCGCGCTGTGTTATTGCGACGCACAGCCACCGTCGTGCTGTGTTATTGCGACGAAGGATTAATCGTCGTGCATAGGTTTGCGCGACGACAAACTGTTTCGTCCCGAAAATTTTTGTGGGACAAAAGTCAACCATCGCTCAAGTTTTTGCGACCAAGCAACATTATTTGTCGCGCAAAGTCTTTCTTCACGATGTGTGCCCGACGGATTATGCGCGACGAAGTTTTTGTCGGGCTAAATTTTGTGCGACTGAAAGGATTTTTGCGCGACGAAATTGACTTCGTCCCACAAATGATGAAATGTCGTAGTGATGGCATAGTTAGAGCTATAAACATATATAATATTATGAAAGTACAGAAGATACAAGTAAAAATTCGAATCTCGAGTAACATGTGCTAGGGTTACATTATATATATCCGATACTTGATGAGACAGTAACATGTGCTAGGGTTACATTATATATATCCGATACTTGATGAGAATGTCTCACTGCGAAATATCATGAATTCAGAATCGGATCAAGACAATGTATAGGAGCAACAAAGCTCTTATTCACGGCAATAAGAGGACTCTAATGAATATGCATATATGTGTAGGCTGTAGCTTCAGTTATGTTTGACCCGCAGGTGATCTAAGCAAGGTTTCTTGAGGCCAGCAGGGCTTGCTTGAAGCTCCATGAATTTCTCATATGTCATTCCAATGTATTTTGGGGCTTGGCCTTCTCTCTCTAACAACTCTGGGATTGGTAAAGCTGGTGTGTCCAGTGAGGGTCCATGGGGCACAGCTATTGATATCCTTGTAGCTTTGTTGTTCACAACAGCCCTGTGCCATATACTCTTGTACTTGTCGTTTGTCAAAATCTGCCACGAAAAATTAACCATGCCCATAAATAATGGGTACCATTAATTTATGAAAATAAGTAGAGAATTATTAGATTGTAATTCTTAGATAAGATGGGTTTTGGATTAAAAAAAGTTGGGTGTCATTCTGGTACCTGCATTTGGTCACCAATGTTAACAACAAAAGCTCCGGGAGCAGCATTCACCAACACCCATTGGTCTTTGTGCTTGACTTCAAGGCCACCCATCTCATTCTGAATGAGAAGGGTCACCAGTCCATGATCGGTATGAGGAGGTAGACCGATGGCTTTATCGGGCTCTGGGCACGCCGGGTAGTAATTTGCGGCCAGAATTTGTAAGCCACGGTCCCAGTTCATGGCCTTTGCTATGTAGTCAGCCTCCAAACCTAAGCTCTCTGATATTCCCTTCAATATTTCTGTGGCTACTTCTCGGGTTCGTTTGCTGAACTCCAGTGAAACCTCGCTGTATCCAGCAGGTTTGTAGAGTGAGTTAAACTCAGGGTGGGTTATGACCTTGAGGAAATCCCTCCAGAGATGAACTTTTTCAATGTCGACGTTGAAGCTGGTGCCGCATTTGATTGGATCCAACAGGTTCCTTGTTTGGAACTCCTTCTTCCCCTCCTCCGGCAGATCAAAAAATCTTTGACACGTGTCGATCATTGATTGCATCAGGCTCTTTGGTACACCGTGGTTGGTCACCTAATAATTCCCATATATATAATTTATGCTTAATTAGCTTTCATCATGAGAGTTGTAGATACAGTTTGACAAATACTTTGTTGATATTATAAGGTAAACATAAGTCTTTGTCTAACAACATAAGTCCTGTTACTATAAACAAATTAAGGTACATACCTGGAAGAAGCCCCATTCCTCGCAAGCTCTGCGCAGCTCCTGGATCACTTTTGCTCGTTGATCAGGTGATCCAGAAGTGAGAAGGGAAAAATCAATGATCGGGATTGAATGCTCTGGGTCGTTTGCATCGCCTTGTTCATTAGGATTTTTGGTATAGGCGTACTCAGAAGGTACAACAGTGAAGGAAGCTGAGTCAGCTAGTGTTTTGATGCTTGCTACTTTGGGTATTTCATGGCCATTAGATGCCTCCATTGAAGTCCGTGTAGGTGCTATTGGGGGAGAGAGTGAGAGAGAGAATTGTTGGGCAGTTGTGGAGGTATTGAGAGAAAAGGAATGGGTATTTATAGCACAGGATGTACTGATTTTACACGTGGAGGATTTCTACATATATGGGGGCTGTTATTTTAGTGTTGCCCTTCACCACAAGGTCTAGAAATTTTACAGACATAAGTTGGCCAACGCTGAACAAGTTCCAAGAGAATAAAAAATATATATATATTTTGTAGTTAAACCTGTATGTTCAGATGAATTAATAAATCTACTGGTGAATTAATAAACCTGCAACGCGTTTTTCTGCTTATTTTTATTTTTTGTTGGTTTTTTGAATGGTCAAAGTAGGACAATGATGCGTATATTTCATTTGAAAGGAAACGTTTTTGTGTATATTTCATTAATTTAGACTGTGATTCTATTTTTTGAGAAGATCAATTCCATTAATATAGTCCAGACAAAACTAGAATCACATAATAAACACCTCTAAAATAAATCTACCCAACCCACAAACACAAATTAAGAAAACCCATCGAAAGAGCACACACCACCTCTCAGGTTATAGTCAAAGAAGACCTCCTAAGTAAACATAATTCTTTGTAGAGCGTGAGACTTGTTAAGCATGCAATGGGCTGAACCGAAGGAACACCGAGACGAATAACCACGGTAACGAAACACAAATAAACAAACTATAAAGTAAAACAAAACCCAACAAAGGAGCACACCAACGCCTCTCAGGTTTTGTTAAAGAAGACCTCCTATGTAAACATAGTCCTTTGTACAACACGAGATTTATTCAACCTGCAGTGGGCAGAAACAAAAGAACACCAATACGAATAAACCACAAGAACACCAATACGAATAAACCAAAACACAAAGAAACACACAAAAGTACAATGAATTAGACTGTGATTCTTAGTCTTAGTTTTACGTGTTTTTTTGTACATTTTTTGCATTACTTTTTTTTATTATACAAGAGATATTGGGAGAAAGAGGAATTGAACTTAGAACATCGAATACATAGATAAATACTCTTAACTACTTAAATTACAAGACCCTTAGAAAAAAAAACAAAAAAACAAAAAAAAACTAGAAAGTGGAAGCACCACAAGTTTTACAAAAGTTAAACTTTAAAAAGCTACCTGGCCAATGGTTTTTTTTTTTTTTTTTTTTTTTTTTTAGAATTAAGAAAAGATAATATGGGTAGTTATCTATATATATAAAGTAAAATGTTTCATAAAAGTATGACCTATTATCTGATTTTGTATTTAATTTTAAAATTTTTAATATGAAAAATGTGAATTTACTATATTATCCTCATTTAATTAATAATTTTAATTATTAATGTTTGAATTAACCAATGACATTTTCTGGTATTTTGAATGTTTCATCATTCTCTGTCTTTTACTTTATATATATAGATTAATTAAAATACATCGAATAGATAAAAAAATTTATTGATGAAAGGTATGCTTGTACTGATCAGAAAATTACAAAATGTACATAATGGCTATCACTTTAGATTTTGACTATTGCACCAGCCAGTACAAGTGCCCAATGACTACTCACCTATAAATGCCCCGTGTTCCTCGTGGTCAATGATTGTACGTAGTCGTTCTGTTATTTTCAAAAACCCAATTATTCAAAACAAGCCAGCCAAGAAAAAAAATATAATTAGGGATAAGAAGAAATGCCAAAAAAAATTTATAAAAAAAATTGGAATATATGATCTGCACGTACTAATTTTTTTAGGAGTTTGTGTGATTGAGTCCCCGCGGGTAGCCAACAGATGCTTTAGGAATCGGTTTTGTGGAAACATTAATCCTTCTTTTGAATTGTCCTCCTGCGTTTGTGAGTTGACAGGAACATGAATATAAGTCAAGCAAACAGCCCCCATTTATTGGACTTATAAGACCAGAAAACCAACCTATCCAAAAAAAATAAAAATTAACGGATAAAAAGAACCCTTTTTCAAATGCTAATAACAAAAATAAAATAAAATTACACTTACAATTATCATTAAAACTATATATAATTTTGATGCGTTAAAAACAATTATTAGCACTCCAAAAACGGCATTTTGCACTCATATCTTATATAAACAAAAGGGGGAAATTGTGTTAGGAATTGTGGATTGAATACCATTATCACACACCAAAAAAGGGGTTGTTCATATCGCAGGGTGTTCATATGGGGGTGGTAACGAGATTTTTAAGATAAAAACCCTCGCCTAAAATACATATATATATATAAAACCCGACAATTACCAAAGAGAAGCACCACTAAAAGACATTTACTACAAAATGACACTGAATATATACATGGCAACCAAATAAATAAATAAATAAAACCCTTCCATAGAAAGACAAATTATTAAATATCTTTTTAGTCATTGTATTTTAATTTGGAATATATTTGAGTGCTGCTAAATGAACC